TCATAAAGACTCTGTGCCTTCTCCCTGAGCATGTTGCCGTCATTTCTGGTTCATATCCTCAACCCAGATGTTTAATGCCTTCTTCACCTTCACTAGAGTTACATCTCTAACCTGGCTAGTCACCTTAGCAGTAAATGAGGCACTTGTATATACGGTTTCACGAATTTCCTTCTCCTGAATCTTAATGGATCTCACGCTTGATTCGTTGCATCCGTACCTCTGTGCGACAGCAGCGACCGACATGCCGCCTTTTATTAAGTCTAAAATGGCCACTTTTTCTTTCAGGGTTATCACAGAGCATTTTTTTTTTGCTGGAGGACCAGAGGCAGAGGTTGGCTTGTGTTTGGGCATTATGAACGAGTATGAGAGAGGTTTAAGCGCACTAAATTGACACACGAGAGGCAAGTGTTACTCCAACAATACCCGCGCGGCAACTGAAGACAGAGAGGTGGGATGGCAGGGTGGATCTTTGGTGGGCTAGCGTTTGGCGCACTTATGACCCATTTTGAAAATTTTGAGTTTAAATTGTAAATTGTAACCTAACCCCCGATGTAATCCACGTACAGTGGTCCCTCTGTTAACGAACGGTTCGATTAACGAAGTTTCGGTTAACGAACTACCTCCCATAAGGATCTTCAATTCGGTTAACGAACAAAACTTTGATTCACGAAATCCTTTCGAACAACACGTTTTGTTGTGAGCATCAGCTGATCAGCTGATGGGCTTGTCTATCAATTCAGTATGTAATCTGTTCTATGTTTACATTCATTTCCAGTGGAGTAAATATCAAGAAAGTTGTGCTCTTTAATATTTTTGCATTTTTTATATTTAAATTATTAGTCATATTAAAATTTAGTTAACATATTGATAATACTGTATATGCAGTACAGGGAACTAGTTTTTTGTGCACCCATCAGCCGCTTGACTCAGCCACCAGGCGTCAGTTTGGCTTTATTGACAGTGGAGTGAACATCTATTTTGTTGGTGTCTTGAATATTTTTACATTATTACATTGAAATTACAGTATTGGTCATTCTGAAATTTAGTTAACATATTGATAATATATAGCGCAGTGCAGTGTTGATTTAAATAAACTAATCTTGAATTACACCTAGTGAACTTTAAATTTTATTGGTGAAATGACTGCATCAAGCATGGGTCCCCTGAAAGGTGATTTCTCCTCCATCCCCACTTCCTTCTCTTCTCCCTTCTCCTCCACTCCCACTTCTAATTCCCATCATCATCATCAACTAGGAACCTTCTACATACATACATACCTCAAAGTAAGTGTACTCTACTGTATTTGTTTTTTACTTTGTATGCACTTTTCTGTGAGCTGGAGCCAATTACCCAATATCCCATTGAAACAATGGATTCGCTTAACGAAATTTTCGATTAACGAACGACTCTGTGGAACGAATTGTGTTTGTTAACAGAGGGACCGCTGTATAGTTGAAATCGCCTAAGAAAAATACGTGTAAGTTGTGAGTCTATTGTATATTCCCTTTATGTGTTTGGCCTTAGGACAATTATTTCTTTTACCTGTATTGTATAATGTATATGTGTGTGTAGACACACACACATACAAATATATAATAATGGGAAAATCCTCTCACAAATAATGAAAAACAAGAAAACAAAACTGTATTAAAAATGTGAGTCTACCCTCATGTTAACTCCGTGCTTTGATATTAAAGTTAAAACAAAGCACAGACTTGACTTGAGGGAAGACCCTAACATTTTTAATACATTTTGTTGTCTTGTTTCTGATTAGTTGTGAGAGGATTTTCCCATTATTATTTATTTGTATGTGTTTTGTGTGTGTGTCTACACACACACACACACACACATATACATTACAGGTAAAAGAAATTACTGACTCTAGAACAAATGGCTCCCTGTCCCAGCCGCAAAAATGGGTACATCCAGGGTGTCATCCGCGAATAATTGAGGTCCACAAATTAAAAATCCGCAAATTTTAATAGCATGCTGTACTGTATATTTATTTAACCAAACTTCCAGATAAACTGTTCAAGATTACTTGGAAAATAAAATGGTGTTTATAACTTAATTAGAACTGATTTTATTGACTCCGGTATCAACATTTCTTATGTTTTTTGTTTTTGTTTTTTATATATAAAGGAATGAAGTCCCCATCATTATATCATGTTCAAATATTTTGTTGAAGGATCTTTTATTTGAACAGTCTTGTATAGAATTTACTCAGGAGCATTTGGTACCAAATTCCTCTGTCTAACACAGTTAGAACAGATGCTGTGAATAAAGGTGGTGGCACACTGGGCACTTTCCTCCAAACATGTTGCCTGTTTTGCTGGCTGCTGGCCTGACGACCCAGCAAATAGCAGGATTTCAGCTGTTGCAAGAAATGGACAACAGTTTGGCGGTGACCTTTGCTGGCCCGGTTAGTGCTCAAATGAGCTTCATATTAGGTGTTGAATACTCAAGTAAAAATTGAAATAAATCACGAAACAATAATATAGTCATGCGCCAGTTAAGGTCCAACCGAACAACGTCCGATTGCATATACGTCTGTGGCCGGCCGCCCCCCCCCCCCCACAAAAAATAAATAAATAAAACTTCCGTGATGCCTGCTGGACCACCACTCCACGACACCCTGACGGAGACACGATGATCCTCCCCATACTGGCCAGATATTATGTGTTAAAGGAATATCCTTCCTTCCTTAGGCATTTGCCTCCAGGTGTAATGTTAACCTACATCTATTGAGGATAAAATCTTTCACCTACAAATTGACAATAACACATTTGCTGTAATCAGACATATCTAGTTGCCTCAACAATTGCAACTCCAGTTGCAATTTCAAATTCTGTGTCATTACTAAGGAATAACGAAGTCTCTGGTGCACTGCACTCTAAGATTAAGAGAAAACGGACGACTCAGGCGTCCTGAAGTGAGAGAAAACGGACTCCTTTGACGGGGCACTCAAATAAAGAGAGACATAGCTACATGTTTTGTGGACTACCCACTTTACAGTATCCTTTTCATCACTTTGTAATAAACCTAGCCATGCTTATGTGTGTTTATGATATTTACCATAGCATTATACAGTGGGGTATGCTATAACGAATCTAATTGGTTCTAGAACCTTGTTCGTTATAGGATTAATCAGTTCCAGGCCCCCAAATACAACCACTTAACACTGAAAAATATAATATAAAATTGTAAAAATTGTAAAAAAGTGCATAAATATGCATCTAAACCCCTGAAATAACCAATATCATTAATACTTGTAATAAAAAAACAATAAATTAGTAAAAAAAAAAAAAAAATGAAATAATGTTCGTTGTAGGAGTTTCGTTCGTTATAGCATTCTCAATTTTATAGGTAAAACCGTTCGTTATAGGAATATTCGTAGTAGGATCCGTTCGTTATAGCATACCCCACTGTATATATATTCAGTGGGTCTAAATGGTCGTAAAATGGGAAACTTGGGGTTGGGTGCCTGGAACCCCCATTAGAATAAATCCCATAGGTTTATGTAATTTCGGACAACGTCCATTTCGGTTTACATCATGTTTCCAAGAACGTATCTAGGACGTTAACCGGTGCATGACTGTAATTTAAAATACCTGTATAACACATAAAACGGTGACATGTTTCTATTTATTCATCTCTTTACAACTTCTTTAGTATTATTAAATCATCATTTAGGGTTTTCTTTGACCAGCCAGCCGCCGCCACTTTTAAAGAAACTTCACCACGCACCCACTGTCTTTTCTTTAGCTTTTACAGATGCCTCACTTGCTTCAGCAATTGAAGAACTACAGAATAGCACAATCCTGCAAGGCCCCAACTGTAGTAACGGGATCCATGGAGAACCTCGTCTAGACGCTTTGTTGTTGTTTTCGTTGCACTGGGCAGATGTGCCAGCAAATCATCCCAGTGTGACGCAAACTTTTCTTTGTTTTGCTGGTCGGACTGTGTTTGCCAAACATGTTGGGAGGAAAAATGCCCAGTGTGCTGCCGCCATAAAAGTTTATACATTTGCACACACCTCAAAAATACCTTCGTTTGACGGACCATATCATGTATACAGTATTTTTATTTTTTTAGAATACAGTAGATTTATTTATTCAATCTTTTGGATAAAATATTCAGAATTATTTGGGTAAAAAAAAAAGTGTTTAACTTAATTAGAACTGGTTTTATAGACTCCGGTATCAACATTTCTTAATTTTTTTCATAAAAGAATTGAGACCCATCCTTATATTATGTAAAAATATTTTGTGTAAGGATCTTTTATTGAAACAATCTTGCAGAGAATTTATTCAGTATCATTATGGTATAAAATTTATCATTGTAACACAAATAGAACAGATGCTCTGAATAAAAGTTTATACACTTTTTCACTAGCTGTAAATATTTTCTCTTGTGCCTGCGGTCTAAATGTAATGGGAGAGTGTTTGTCCATGCGAGATGAGATGCGTAGTTTAGAGATGTGATGAGATTCGTTGTTTCGACGCTTAAACTGAATTTAAGCAATACAGGTATATAACTTTCTATAAGCATTTCACACACACTCAGACACTCTATCTCTTGAAATTTTTAATTAGAATAAAGAACAACCCCAAAGACCCAAGGCTGTTGGATTTGTGACTTTGTACTGCACAGTACAGTATACTGTATTTCACTATGGGTTCATACAGCAGCCAGTTTGTCAAATGAGAGGTCTTATTTATACATTTGTACTGAATTTCAACAGTGGATTTTCAGGTCATCTGGATGCCATTCCCTCAAAAAATAATCAAGATGACCAAGAGTTCACTTCTAAAAAAATTAGAAAATTGTTAGTAATTTGGGTATTTAGGAAATAAATAAATCCAAATAAAAAGTTCCAAAATAATCCAAGGCTACTGTACAAAATTGATGTTTGCCATAGGTAATGTTACATGTGATATTCTTTTGAAAGTAAAGTTAAAAGGAAAACTATTGAAAATTTGTTTCTCTTTTAACACCAGAGGCTGGAGGATTTCTCAACAATGAAGGTTCAGGACTGTATCCATTGCAGAGCTCTTGCAACCACAGCTGTAACCCCAATGCTATGCCCACCTTCCCTTACAATAACTTCCATCTGGTGATGACAGCAGTGAAGGACATTGCAGCTGGAGATGAGATTTGTGTCAGTTACCTTGATGAATGCAACTTGAATAGGAGTCGACACTCCCGCATTTCTATTCTCAGGTTTGAAGATTTATGTTGTGGGATGCTCGGTACTGTGTGGTTAACTAAAGGTTTTAAAGTTGGAAAAATAGTGTGGTACACAATTTGTCACCACACTGCAGGGTTCTCATGATGAAAGTAAATGTTTGTTATTAAAGCAATTGATGAAATCTCTACTAAGGATATTACCAAAACAGATATTTCAAGTGTTGCTTTGTAGCCTGTAACTTTTGAAGATGTGGAGGTGGTCAGTGTCTTATATATTGGGTGGATTCTACATATGACTGTCCCTCTTTAAATACAGTATATAGATAGTTAGAGTGGATCCACTCCACATTAATGGTCATTCATAACAGGGTTTTCCCTTTGAGTGCTATATTATGTCATCAGTGACATGCTTAGAATTTTCTAATGCATTTTAAGTTTCCTCCAGAACACCATAATTTTGATGTCTCACTTTTAAAGATTTTGAAAATCCCCTGTTTCTAACAACAACAAATTAAAGGGGGTTCTTCGTGGTCCAAGCCCACCTCCCTCTCAGGAATTTAGACTTGGTCCACATACTTGAAGCTTATCTTGGGGAAAACCCTGCATAGGTCATAGTAAACCAAGCAATTACCATATACGGTACAACAGCTTTGTTAACTAGATAATTTCAAGATTATCAATATAAGTGAGTGTTTGTATGAGATTGTACATAATTGTTTCAGAGTAACAGCATATGATTTTTGTATCATTTTGAAATAATACTTTCAGGGAAAACTACCTATTCACCTGTCGCTGTAGTAAGTGTGAGGAGCAAATGATTGAGCCAGATGTTACGAGTGAAGAAGAAATGGACGAAGATGAAGAGGAGGAGGAAGATGAGTAGATTTGTGTTATGTAATACAGATTACTGTAGTTATTTATAGTGTAGTAAATAATATGATGTTTGAAAAAAAAAATTTTGTTTGGTAGAAATACATGGGCATTGTGGTGGAAATGAAGTACAAAAAGTAAACAAGAAAAAAAGCAAACAAACACCATAGTAAATTTTCTTAAATATGATTCACAGATGAGCCTCAGAAAAATGATAAAAAGATGCCAAAAATTATTAAGGTTTGCCATTGCATTTAAAGATTTATGCATATTGGTAAATAAGTGATTATTTTCCAAATGTAGCTTGCTCCATCTCTAAGAAGGAAATCTGTTACTGCAGTGTAAAGGAGAGAAATTGTGAATTTTAGCTTCAGGTGGTGTTACATAGTAAATGATACCCAGAAGGATATAATGGTGATAACAGAAATAACAGAAAATTAATATTAACTGTACATAGTCACGATTGTAAAGAAACTGAAAGAAAATTAACGAGTAAGGTGAATTGATGTGTATATCTGTTGATAATGATAATTGTAAATAAGTGTTTGATTCTACCTCCAGATGTAGTTGGGGCATTTCATGAATTTTCAGCAGCAATTCTTTTATTTTATTTTTGTTGGAAATATGTTGTATGGTACAAATTTTTATCTCACCCGTAAGCTAGGCGGCTCTTGTAATGCAGGCTAAGTTAATAGGGGTCTTGTTCTTGAGTCCTCAGACAGGGCTTCCCAAATGTTAACCTGGATTATATTGCTATTCCTTTCTGGAAGAACCAATTACTCTAAACTTCCCCTTGTACCATGAGCCTTAAATTGAGGCCACATGATACAACCATACCCTGATAGGCCGAAGGTTTTGTTACAGTCATTATCACTGAATTAATACTCAATATGCCAAGGTAACTGATCTTCCCTTTGAATCTGAGTGAATCAGGGAGGCGTTGAACCACTTATATCATCAGTATCTAGCTGACAGTTTGAGAGGATGGTATAGTGACCAACTCTTCTCTGGTCTGCCTGTATTCCAATCATGGATGTACAGTATGCTGGAACTTTTTCAGGGGAGGGGGGTAAGGTTTGGAGGCTGACAAAAGTCCCCTAGGACAAAATCCCTGTGGACAAAACCCCCTCAGTTGAAGTACAGTCCCGGACAAAAGTTCTCAATACAGTCAAGGTGGAGGTTGTAAAGTCCTCCCCCACCCTTACTGGACAGCGGGTAGCTGTCCATCCATCAGTCTCCACCACACAAACAAGCACCCAAGCAGTTCAACATTCAGCTCTGATACTTCCATTTCTCAGTAAGGACTGGGAAAGTATGTCATAGTTTTCATGAATAAATTCACGAAACAATTTACCCAGTCAGGTTTTACATTATTTGACATAATAGGTTAGCTCATTATTAGATAATCATGATACTGTATATGCATTACAATACAGAAGACACAATGGAGAGAGTGTGTTTGTTGGCTGGAGGTTTGCAACGATAATATCAGAATCCTTCAAGCTGTATTGTTCCTTAAATTGGTAGCCAGAAAACTAAGCGTGAATATGGTTCATAAGAGAATGCTATATCACCCTCCGTGGTAATGGCTTTATCATATGGTCTACTGCATGTAACCTTGGTTTGGTCCCTACACTGGGAGTATAGATGACATATGAATGACATGATTAATATGAAAGTGTGTCATAATAAATAGATCACAACACCGTTGATTAGGGTTGGATGGAAAAATAAGGTAAAAGCAGCATGACCATATTTTATTACTACTCATATAAGTAACCATAAATGTTACCTAGCTAATGTTATGTGCAGTCAATATCTTTGTAAATATTTATAGTTAAAAAAAAAAGGTAAAACAGTGACTCAAACAAAAGTATATTCTTTAGATTATAAAAATTATGTATAACACATGTTGTCACAAAAATTATTCATTCAGTAGCCAATCCAGCCTTTTCAATTAGGGCCTGTGACCTGTCTGGCATGGGTGCCACAAGGTCTCTATCAGCTCCGGTCTACCACTGTAGTATCCCCATTGTCTGTTAATGTGCAACATAATGTCAAATGATGTAAATCTTGATTGGATAAATTGTTTTATGAATTTATTAAACAACACAATGATATCCTTTCCCAGTCCTTATTGAGAAATGGAAGCATCAGAGCTCAATTGTTGAACTGCTTGGGTGCTACTTTGTGTGCTGGGACTATGACCGGACAGCGACCAGTGGGGCCACTAAATTTGTTGGTACTGTATATCTTGAAAATTTTACCCTAACCTCAAAAACTTTATTTATTTATTTATTTATTTTTTAAACCTCCCTTACATTGAAAAATTCTAAAAAATATATATATTTTTTATAATTATATTTTTATATTTAAGAATCATAGTTAACTTAGATATGACAATATCCTTTTGGCACTTAGCTTGTAAAGTATTTTGGTAAGTAATTTGGCACCCCTCGGCCCATGATTCGCCGATTTCGCATCTCTAAATGTGACTCTTCCATCTTTTATTTTGAAAGAAATGTCATATATATTTTTTTAGTTGCTGCAGTGCATAAGCAACAATTAAAATTAATTATTTAGTAGCCTACACTAAATTATTACTACAGTACAAAAGGTCTACTTGTTTATATATTAAGTAAAGTTTCTGTTTCAATTTACTCCTAAAGAATTTAGGTCTCGACTCAAACCATCCAACGAATAGAGTTTGTTTTCTTTTGTAATGAATAATACCTAGTGTATTTTCATTTGATTAATTATCTTTTATTTTTGTAGTTTATAGACTTGTATTGACTAAAATTATAATATCGTACAGGTTGTACCTCTCTAGTCCGGCAACCTCGGGACCTGACCGGTGCCGGACCATGGAAATTCACCCTTTTCCTGGATAGATAGTGACTTGTGCTTATGCCTGGAAGCACTAGCACCACTTTCTCTGCGTCATGGTCTCTTTGAAGACATATTGAAGGGTTAAATGTCGTATAGTAGCTTCTCAAATTTCGCGAGTTTTTAATTCTTAACGTATTTTATTGGAACACAAAAAAATAAATAAATAAAAATTTTGACGGCGGAAACTTGAATTTCGACGGGTTTGAACGGCCCGCCAACGTGCAGACGACGTGCATAATCGTGTAAACAGCGTCATTTCTCTTATGTACAAAAGATTCATTATTGTTTATTACTGAATGTCTTTTTTATTGAATTAATGTTTATGTGTGCAAAATGAGCAATACAATTCATTAATAATACGTAGAACATTAAAACACACGAGGAAATGACAGCATTGTTTTCGTTGATTACAAAACCAGTGACTGACTGGTTCTACATATAAAACTGAAGAAAATAAGACCTTGGTTGTAGCTGTAGTAAAATTAATATGGTTGTTTTAAGTAATGTTATTTAATGTTAATAAATGGAACAATAGAAGTAGCTAACGTTAATGGTAAAGAAAAAGAGAGATCGCATATGTAAGTGCGCATGCGCACACGTGAAAACGTATCGTCATTACTTTACATAAGAATATGAAAGCAACACTTATTTACTGTTCATATATATTTTAATTAATGTTTCTGAATTTGTTTTTATTGAATTAATGTACGTGTGTGCAAAATTAACAATACAATTTATTAATAATATGTGGAATATTAGAGGAGACGAGACGACTGCCGGTATTGTTTATGTTAAAGCTTACGAAACCAGTGACTGATTGGTTCTACATATAAAACTGAAGAAAATAAGACCCTGATTTTAGCTGTAGTAAAATTAATGTAAAAAATGAATATGGTTGCTTGAAGTACCTGTAATGTTATTTAATGTTAATAAATGGAACAATATAAGTAGCTAACCATTAATTGTAAAAAAAAAAGTGAGACTGCTCGTATGTAAGTGCGCACATGTGAAAATATATCGTCATTACTCTACATAAGAATATGAAAGCAACACTTATTTACTGCTCATATATATTGAAGGGTTAAATGTTGTACTCTGTATAGACAAGCAGAGAGAGAAAGCAGCCGAACTGCCGGATGTAAACAAACCTTAATTTCCCGCGGCTTTTTTTTTTAAGGGGATTAGCCCACCCGGGCATAGGTCACTGACCCACATTGGGGCCTGAGGGGCCAAAATTTAATACTCCTGTAATAATAATAATAATTCAGATAAGTAAAAAAAAAGAAGAAAAAAAAACTGCCTATGTACCTATTGGACAAACTAAAATCGTTCCAGACCACAGAATGCCGGACTAGAGAGGTACAACCTGTAGTTGTAATTGGATATAACTTTGTTATACCTCGATTTTTTTTTAGCAATCTGGAAAGATTAAGACACTAATCTGGTTAAACTTTGTTATATCATGAGTGGCATCACTGACAATGACCCGCCGTCCAATAAGGGTGGGGAGGACTTTGCACCATCCACCTGGACTGTTTCAAGAACTTTTGTCCGGGACTGTACATAGTAGGATAAATCCTCCCCCCCTCCTCCCCTCCCCCCCTTTTTATATATACTGTATATACATATACACAGAGTATTAATGTTTCTTAAAGTTAGGTTTGGTTAGATTTATGTTGTAGGGGTTTTTAGTCTGAAAGGTATTTTCTCCTACATTTGTCAAGTTGGATTTGGTAGGCTTAATATTCTATTTTTTTTTTTTTTTTTCCTGGCTAATAACAGACTTATTACTATACAGTACTGCGTGTTACAAATCTCACCTGTCCAATGGTGATTGGAAGTTAGCAATTGAGTCGTTGATTACAATTAATTAAATTATCATCATCTAAGAGAAAATCCAAATAAGAATTAGTACAGTATTATAAATTCTTAATAATTTGTTTATATTAAATTATTTTAGTAACTTCTAGTTACTATATAGAGCTGAATTGGGATTTTTTTAGTACAGTAGGTTGTCAAATTATGGGAGGGCTAAGTTCCAGGAGCCTTGCATATGCAGATTTCACTTATACAGGAAAGCCTCCTATAGCGATGGTTCTACTAACAATGATTCATATTTAAGACCCTGGTTAATTTAGGACCCAATTCAATTTACACCATTATATTCTTCATATTTACGATGAAAATCTAATAAAAAATTAAATAAATTACATTTTCATATACAGTAAATAAAAACTAAATCCCAATATTTATTATAAAAAAAATACAAGCCTTGCACACGGAGGCTGCCAGGCTTGTGAGTGGTGACACCAGCATCACTAGTATAATCAGTTGCAGCTTGGCGGAAAAACTTTCAGGTTTCTTACGGCATTTTTGCGTCTCTATTCAACATGAGCAAGTGATGGCAGTGCTGGTTCAAAAGCAAAAAGAAAGTGTATAAGCTTAGCAGAGGAACTAGATGTTTTAAAAGATATGAAAAGGGTGAAAGGTCTGTGGATATTATATGGAGCAAGCAATGAACATATTTTCTGAAGTGGATCCATTAACAGAACAAAGCATTAAAATTAACAAGGATGTGAAAAATGCAAATGATCTCTACATAAAGATGTATAATGAGAAAAGAAAGCGGATGTGCAAGGTTCTTTTGACAGCTTTATTATTCAAAGGTTTAAACCATCAACTTCATCTACACCATCAAATTCAGCATCATAAGCAGCTTCATCAACAACTTCAGGTTCAGTAACAGTTTCAGCAACAGCTTAAGGAAAGCTACAGCTTCAGCCAGAGTTGAACCTGATGAATTCGTCATCTGAGTAAAAACTCGCACAATATTCATTGGCTGTCCTTATGTTTTAGACTTTACCACCATTGGTGAGTAAAATTTTTGTTTTACATTCATAAGTATTATTTAAAACATATATGAACAGTAATAAGTGTTGCTTTCATATTCTTATGTAGAGAAATGACGATATGTTTTTCACATGTACGCACTTACATACGTTGGCGTTCCCAATCCGTCTTGCTTTTTTCTTTACCATTACATACCATTACATTACTTAAAACATACATTTTCATTTTTTTTACCTTAATTTTACTACAGCTACAACCAGGGTCTTATTTTCTTCAGTTCCTTATATAGAACCATTGTCATGGGTATAAATGCGAACGAAAACAATGCCGTTTCGTCTCCTCTTGTGTGTTTTAATATTCTACTTATTATTAATGAATTGTATTGTTCATTTTGCATATAGAATAAACATTAATTCAATCAAATACATATTCAGTAATAAACAATAATGAATCTTTTGTACATATTCTTGGTAAGATAAATGACGCTATGTTTCCATGAATGCACACACATACGTTGGCGTTCCACTATCAGTCTCTCACATTTTTTACTGTAACATCAGTGGTTACTTCTACTATACACAATATAACATTATATACTTTTTACTTTAATTTTACTACAGTAACAACCAGGGCCTTATTTTCTTCAGTTTCAGATGGATAACCGACATTATGGGTGTAAACACAGACAACAACAATGGCGTCCCATCTTCCCTTGTGTGACCATTTTCCATTAATTTTATTGTTTTGGGGGAAAAGATGGTAAAAAGCCACACAAAAGAGATGAAAAGGTCAGACTTTGGAGCGCATCTCATTATTACTGCTTTATTTTAATGGTAATTAATGATTCACGATACGATGATTCACCTTACACTGCAATATTGGAGGACACATTACCATCATTATTCGAGGCTTTACTGTATTCTGGTACTCAGTATATATACGTAAAACCCGTCTTCTATACTAAAGTAACCCTACCCCATGTAAACAACTGTGTGAACTCCCACAAACCATGTACCCTGTACAGCTTGAATGATCAATAAATGTACTATACATAAATATTATAAATAGAAATTTTATCAAAGAAAAATCAGAGGGTTTTGCGTATCTCACTTTCACAATATTTGGTGGAGTGCCGGACGTCTTGTTTATTTTGAACCGACTCACAGCTTCAGTTAGATATGCCACTCCTTAATAAGTCTAATACAGTATTTAGACTTTTTTTTAAAAACGTCTCATAGTATGCACTTTCTTATGTTATTCACTCTCACCACCACGAGTACTGTCATTAACTTTCCTCTTAAGGGCCATGATTGCGGTACATTTCACCATTAGATAAAACCTTTACCAGCGTGAACTGCT